AAACGTGTATGCATGCAATCTTCTCCTACATGCTCTTACTATTTACTTTTTATTCTCAAACATAATCATTCTATTGCCGACGTCATTGACATTGGCGATGATGATCACTCTCATGATTCACTCATAATTGATGATGACGATGATTTAGTGATAATCGGTGAAAATGTCGATAAAAGTAGCAAGGAGGAGACAATTGAAACCATTAATCAAGCTGCAGTTTGTGTAAGTTTAAGATGATATTTGTCATATCACAATAGTAAATCGATGTTATCTTTTCTAACTTGTCAATATTTTGCTCTAAATACTTTTCAGCCCGATGTTGATTATGACCACTCTTTTGGAATGAAGTCTTCTCATAGTAAGCTTTAATGTCTTCAGCTATGTGTTCGTCCACATAATCGTCTTCGCCTTCCTCCCTTATTGTGAGCGTCGTCGCCTTCAATTTACAAGATTCGTCTTTGTCATTGCAGCTTTCACAGTTGAGTGGACCCCTTCTAAAAACTAACCCTAACTTTTACAAGGAAGTAGTTGAAATGTTACATATAATCAACAACAATTAAAAATAATCAAAATACCATGTGTTAATATGCCTTATCCAAGTGGACAAAAATAGAATAAAATGCAGAATCTTTGAAGACATGTGGCATTTGGGAGAATGTTGAGAGAATCTAGATAAGATAAATGAGAGATTAAAAAAAAAACTATGAGAGTTAAAAACAAAATTCACTAATATTACAGGGGATTGTATATTTAATCCTTTATTTAATGACTATATATATATATTATATATATATATATATATATATATATATATATATATATATATATATATATATATATATATATATATATATATATATATATATATATATATATATATATATATATATATATATATATATATTCTATAATTATTTATGTTTAGTTGGAGAGGAGTTAAATTCTATATGTTTTAAATTAAATCTCTAATGAGTACACAAACTAAATGTTTAGTATATTAAATAAAATCAATAATTTAATGATATATATATATATATATATATATATATATATATATATATATATATATATATATATATATATATATATATATATATATATATATATATATATATATATATATATATATATATATATATATATATATATATATATATATATATATATATATATATATATATATATATATATATATATATATATATATATATATATATATATATATATATATATATATATATATATATATATATATCACTCTGAAGCGAATCCGGTAAGGTCACAACTATATAGGATGTTTGAAGGGGTTTTGAGGAGAAGGATGGAGGGCATAATTGTTGGGGACCTCCAAGGTGTCATTTCTCTTTGTGCTCTTCATTGGTTTAGGCCGCAGAGAGAGATATTGGATAGTTTATGGGATTCGAGTGGCACGATCATGAAATGTGTGCATCAAAGATGATGGTTTTACTGATCCCTCTAGTATAATCCTTGATCTATTGATTATTAAGTAGCTTCAAAATGCTTGTGACCGTTCATAAATATTGTTATGCCTTCATTAATCATGTGTAATCGACTATGTCAATGGCTTGTAATGGTTTATGACCATTGACCTTTCTACTACTACTTTTTAAATACTACTCGACTCATAGAATTATGATATATATATATATATATTATATATATATATATATATATATATATATATATATATATATATATATATATGAAAAAGGATATATTTACTTTAAGAGTAGCTCCAAATCTTATCCATTTATTTAAATTTAATTCAACGGTCTAAATTAAATGTTTATTTGAGATTACTGCTATCTTTCTTCATTTCATTCTGTGAAAATTTCTTCCTAAAATAGATAGTAGAAAACATTTCAATTACTTTTATTAGTTTCTATATTAAAAGTTGTTTTTGTCGATTTTTCTATAATATGTAATAAAATTTTAAATTGTTTTATAATATGTAATAAAATATTAAAAATTGTTTTCTCAATTTTAATTTTAATTTTTTTATGAAAATAACCACTCATTGATCTCTTTAAAGATAGCCTTTATGTTATTAAAATTAAAAAAAAAATTAAAATTATAGAAAAAATTACAACTCTTTCAAATTTAAAATTATAAAAAAAATTCCACCAAAGAAGTTGGAGAATCAAAACTTTTTCCTGTTTATTTTGAATTACATATTACATTTTCTATCGATTTAAAAAGAAACATTATTTTATACTTTACAAAGAAAATTTTCTATCAATTTAAAGTATAATATATCACTTTAAATTATATATTATATTTTTTGTATACCAATTTTAATTTTAATTATATTTATATTTGTTAACATTAAACTTTAATTAAATCGGACAATTTTTATTCTACAACTTGTTTTGCGACATTTTAAAATTTTAATTACTACCATTGTTTCTTATTTTTTATTTATTTTTTATTTCAAAACATTATATTTTGTTTTTCAAAATATGATTTTATTTTATTTTTCGATACTTATGAATTTTTTTATTTTAATAATCTTAATATATGATTAAAGAGGTTGAATGAATGGTTCAATTTATAAAAAAAAGTAGAACAAATCAATATTCTTTAGTTTAGGGATTAAGATTTCCTATAATTAAAATTAAAATTATATGATACCATATAAAATATCTAAAAAATACTCTTTTTATATAGGAAATAATAAAAGTAATTAAAATATTTTTAACAATCTATTTTAGGAAGACAATGTGATAGAATTAAATGAGAAAAAGTATCAATAATCTCAATAGAATATTTAACTTAGACCGTAAATGGATAAGATTTGGAATAACTCTTTTGAATTATTCATGAAATATATATATATATATATATATATATTTATATATATATATATATATATATATATATATATATATATATATATATATATATATATATATTATATATATATATATATATATATATATATATATATATATATATATATATATATATATATATATATATATATACACGGATTTTTCATAGACTAAAATATTTTGTATTCCCATATTTGTTTTAAAGTTTTTCAAAATTATATTTAAGAATTTTTTATTTTTAGAAATTCATTTTACACATAATTTTATCATTTTTATTTCCATGTTATAGAATGGAAATCTTACATTCCAATAAATAAAAATAACCATCCATAACTTTTCACTCACAGATATTTTAACTCATTTATTTTATATTTTAAATTTTAAATTAATATATTTTATAAATATTCTATACAAATTAAATTTTTTTCGCCAAACACAGATGAAAATAAAATTTCCAAAAATAATATTCTAAGAAAAAACATTCTCAGGATTATTCTTTTAATCCTTAAAATAAACAGACCCTAGGTAATAATTTCATATTCTTCAAAAATTTTAATAAATAGATATATATAGGTGATAAATAAAATATAGGTATATGTTACCGTCATGTATATTTAGTAAAATAAATAATATCAAAATTTCTCAACAATAAAAAAATTTAGAATATGATATTTTTTTGTAAAAAATATAAAGATGTTTAAAAAAACATTATACGAGAGAACATGGAAAAATTAAAATTGATGTTTGATTTAAAATTGCATAGCATATAAAATAATATTTTGGTAAGATTCTATTTTTATAAAAGTTTTAAATATTAAGAATAATAAAAAAGATTCTATAAAATACTCTTTATATAAAATTATTAAATTTTAAACGTTAATTAAATCTGATGATTGATATCAATAGTTCTCATTTCTCATAAAAGATATTAATTATTACCATATATATATATATATATATATATATATATATATATATATATATATATATATATATATATATATATATATATATATATATATATATATATATATATATATATATATATATATATATATATATATATATATATATATATATATATATATATATATATATATATATATATATATATATATATATATATATATATATATTCTCAATTTTTAAATCATTAAATCATTGATTTAATTTAATGTACTCAAAATTTATTTTGTCTATCCATTTGAGATTTAATTTAAAACATATACAGATTTAATTATTCTCCATTTAGAGATTTAATTATTTATTTAATTAATAGTTTATTATTTATATATGTTTTTATGTATATTGATTCCTTCACCATTTATAAATTATTAAATTGTCGCTTTAATTTAATTTACTCAAAAAATATTTTTTTCTTATTATAAATTTAATTTAAAAGAAAAGGGATAGTACATTGACGGTAAAATATTTTTATAATGTCATGAAAACTATCTAAAGCATCAAATTACACTTTAAATTTTAAAATACTTTTATGATTTGATACTTTAAAATATTCTGATTTGATAGAACACTATCATTAAACTCTTAATTTAAAACATTTAGAGATTTAAAAATTATTCATTTTAATATGATTTTTTTAATCATATTTCACAATTGAGACATTATTTAAAAATAAATATATTATCAATTTAAAATTTAAAAAAATGTGAGAAAAATATCAAAAATCTTTCAATTAGAAATCAGAAAATAATTAGTTGAGTGAATAAGCTAATAATATTCGTTTCTACCAAAGAAATGAAAAATAGTGAATCATGACATAAATACTATGGTATAATATTATATTATGAATGAGTTAGTTTTATGAAGAATTTTGAAATATTTATTGAATTCAATACTTATTTATAGTATCATTGCAATTGCTGCATGCACCGTTCTTTGAGTTCAAACACTAAACCTTATTCTTTGATCACCGAAAATCCTAGACCTCTCTAGTTTGTGATTGCTCTGAAATGGATGTTGACATAGTGGAGATTTCTCCCCCAATTCATCTTTTAAAGACACCATTAATCAAACTACAGTTTGTGTAAGTTTAAGATGATATTTGTCATCTCAATACTAAATCGATGTTATCTTTTTTAACTTGTCAATATTTTGTTCTAAATACTTTTCAACCTAATGTTGATTATGACCACTCTTCGTAAGAAGAAATTGGTTACATCAAAACCTCTCGGCCACCGAGCTCATGATATTATGGGACCATGCAAAGCATACAAGGAAGGCGCTCAAGTGGGTTCTTTGGTCAAAAGTGGCTTTCATGATGTTGATGAGGATAGCAAAAGTTGCTCAGAGGTGTTTAAGAATTCTTTACGCGAACCAATGGAACAACTTGTCGGACAGTTTGACAGAATTGGTGCCAAGTACTGAAAAATTCCATTGCTGCAAAACAACATTTCTATGAATTCCCAAATTTGAAGCTGGTGTTGAACACACATTTTTTGTAGGGTAGGAGCCAACTTCAAACTAATTTGTATCAACCTCATTTAAACAATATTGAGCCATATTACAAAAAATAACAATAATAATATTAATGACATTCTAAAAATCATAATTATGATTATTGATTCTCAGCCTCCATTTGAAAGTCTTGATTGATCTCGCAATAACTAATCAGACTATCTCACTAATATTTTTATCATTTTAAGGTGTAAACATTAATACTTAGAGAAATTAGAATAATTCATAAAATAATTAGCACAACTATCTCACTAATAAATGAGAGTGAGAAAATATATTGATCTTGCAGGACCTTGTGCAAGTCAACTGATATCTTAATAATATTCATAGGGTCTCTCCTCAATATGACCTTGATGTATTCTCCATTAGGGTTTTGTCGCTCAGACCTTTTTCCTGCCTTCAAAGGCAACATTTATTTGACGTCCACGACGAACTCCTCGTTGGGCTCTTGTGGTCCTACCTTTTTCCTTGCCTCCAAAACAACATTTCTTTGTCATGCTGTTCAACTTCAAGGGGTTGCTTTTCTAGTCAGATGTTTAGTTCAATTAGTTTCTTCTCAACAATCTTTAATTCATTATTTGGTTGATACTTTTCCTGCAAGACCAATAACTTGACCATGATGATTCTTCTTTGTTCGCTCACTTCAAACGTGATTGGAAGCTATACATATCCGAAGGTTTGGTGTGTAAGTAGTCAAACCTATTGGAAACTTACCAAAGTCTATGATGAATTTCTATCACAGTGACAATTTAATTATGAGACAAACAAAGAAAGAAGACAAGACAAATAATTTCTACAATTTTCTCTCTGCTCACAAACTATGAAAACTTTCTTTATTCATTTTGAAACTGCAAAATACTGTGAATGACTTGCTTGACTTGCTTACAAAAAATATGGGTTACTCTATCTATTTATAACTGAGCTTGCACCCTAAGCTCAAAGCCCAAAATATCTATTTTGTTACTAAATCAAATATAATCTATTTTATACTTAAATCAAATCTATTTAAATCTAAAACAAATCTAATTTTTTTGACTATTATTTTGAAACACTGAATTACAATTTAACACACCACCTAATTCATTGTGTCTAAACTATCTATGTTCATCATGGCTCTTAGTCTTCTGAATACTTTGACTTGCACTCCCTTTGTCATGATATCTGCAATGTGATTCTCAGTTCTGCAGTGTTCCAAATTCATCTTCCCATCTGCTACCTACTCTCGAAGATAATGGAACCTCATTTTGATGTGCTTACATAGACCATGTGCTATTGGGTTCTTCACAAGATTGATAGCTGACATGCTATCGATCTTCATGGTAATTGCTCCATGATCTTTCCCTGTTATCTCTTCGATCAAGTTCACCATCCAAGTTGCTTAACATGCACAAAGAGAAGCAGCTACGTATTCTGCTTCGCATGATGAAAATGTCACTACTAGTTCCTTTCTTGAATTCCAAGCAACTGGTGCACCACCTAGCATAAACACATATCCTACTGTTGACTTTCGATCTTCAACATCATTACACTAACTCGAATCAGTGTATCCCACTAACTTCTATTCTTTTCCTTTATCAGCTGTGTTGTACCCCAAAATTTTCCCTCCCATATTTCTCAAAACATTGCAAGAAAAATCTCCAAGTGGCTCAAGGATTGACTAGACAAGCTATCTCCTAAGACAGTCTACCCCAAATTATAGTTTTGTGTTGCATCAATATCTTTGAGTCCAAATAACCTCAAGTACTCCCTAATGTCCTAATATGTTCTCAAGATCATCCATGTCAAATTTCAAGCCTTGTAGAGGAAGTTTGCTCAGTCAATTGCTCAAAAGGTCCAAAAATCGGCTGTGCTAGGGCAAAATTCAACTGTGACCCAAATACAGTCAAACTTCAAGATTTTTTGTCAACATTCTCATTTTGAAGGATATTTCATCATTTGATCAAGGATTGATCATGATTCATTAAGGATTGCTCAAAATTCATCAAGATTCAAAATCTGCTAAATTAGGATTTTGTAGAAAAAGTTAACTCAACTTTGACCAAGCATAACTTTCTCATACTTTATGAGAAATTACCCATCCAAATCTAATTTTGAAGAGGATTCAATTTCCTACAATCCATATTCATACACCAAGATCAAAAAATGCACTCACAAGAAGTTATGAATTTGGACATTATAGGTCATTTTTGAAAGTCAACAAAAACATCTTTTTTGTCAAAGCTTATAACTTGAGCATGGAATATCAAAATGAGATGAGACAAACAATTTTGGTTATAGAACATCTCAAGCTTTCTAGAAAGTCCAAGAACATCTCCAAAAGTTCAAAATTGAAGAAGTTATGCATTGTTGAAGTTGGACTTTTTTTGCAAAATTGCCAAAAGTCAACTATTCCCAAAACTTCAAATTTTGCCAAATGGGCCCATTATTTTCCACTTGATTTGACTTTGCATCATTTCCCATGTGCCATAGCTTCAGCCATGTGCCTATATCTCATTTTTATTATTTAATTTGATTTTTATTTGAATTTATTCATTTTAAATCAAATAAAATCATATAAAATCCAAGGCATTGATAACTCATGATTTTTTGGTTGCTTTAGGCTTTGAATACAGCTATTATGTGAATCAAATTCGTATCAAAGATATTGGTTACAAGAAGATATGATTTAGGTCAAGTTTGGAAAGGTTTTCATGGAGAATCAAATCAAATATCCAAACATCAATATGGAGAGATTTGAACCAAGTTTATTGACCTAATGCACTGAGTAATACATAAGCAAGCAGGGCCCAAGAAAGTAAGGGTTGGCAAGCACTTGTAGAGGCAGAACCACTTTGCAAAAATTCACAAAAAAAGTTGGAGATCAAAATCCAGGTTAGAGGCAGTTTCAGGACGCGAGAGTTATCTCAATCGATTCCTGGCCATTCACACAAGCTAACTGGATCCAAACCAAGCATTACCAGGTCCTCAAACGCACTGTATGTCTCACGGAATTCACCCCGGTTCTTGATTTCGATTTGAATTATTCTGGCACCTATTAAACAAACTAATGGCATATTTGTGATCACAAGAACATTTGCAAGCTTTTCATAATATTCAATTGCATTTATCTGGCTTATATGGAGAACCACCATAGTTAGGGTTCTTGGAGTTTTTTTTGGGCTTTCTGTTTCAGGTACAATTAACCCATAAGAAGAACATGGTTGTGATCAGAAGGTCATGACGAATTAAACCATGTTCTTGGAATGTATTTATATGGCCTGAGGGAGATTTTAGAACAAGGCTGCGCTTTTAGCTGCGGATTCAAATCCGCGGGTAACGTTACAATATTGGGAGGACAGGAACGAAGAGTTGTCACTCGCCCATTGGACCATTCAAACGAAATGCACATTTTTTTGTTTTGCTGGCAATTGTTTTGTTTTGATATATTATTATTAGTATATGTTATATTAACAATTGAAGCAGTTTGGCGTAGTGGTAGACAGAGCGTATGTATTCCCTTCAGGACCTGGGTTCGAATCCCAGGTCCCCCACTTTCTCAATGATTTTTGTTTTCAGGTATTCCAGTGCATACGCTAGCTTGCAACCTACCATGCTCCCTCACTATCCAAGCGCCAGATGGCCAAAGGGCCAGATCTGGTGGCCAAGCGTTGAAGGTCCACCAAAGTGCTGGTCAATGCGTGTGTACCAGATCCAAAAAGTCAAAAGGGCCAGCTTCTATTGGGCCTACAAAATTGCTCCATGCACCTCCTAATCAGGCCCAACTCCTCTCTCTTTTATTTATTTTGTTTTATTTAAATTTAATTGTTTTATTTTATTTAATTAATTTTCTAACCAATAACAAAATTCTTTTTTTATCAAATAAAATCACAAAAAATACTTTTTTATCCAATCAAATTTTAAAATTTTTATTTTATTAATAATTACTAACTAATTAATTTAGTTTTTTTTTTTAATTCTAGAAAACTCTAACTTATTTTTGTAAATAGTTAAAATTAATTAGATTTAATTAGGTTTTAACCACTAATTTAATTAATTTTATTTTCTTTCTTAAAATAACAAAAAAACCAAAAATATGTCATAATTTATTTTTTCATTAATTAATTTATTAATTTAATTTAGTTATTTAACTTAGGATTAATTTCTTTTTTTTAAAATAAAAACAACAAAAACCAAAAAACATTTTTTCTTTCAAAAGGGTCAAATCAAAACCCTAAAATTCGCACTCGATCTAATTTCCCGCGCGCTTTATTTATTTTTATCATATTAATGTATCTGCTTCCGGATTGTAATAGTTAAATAGGACATTTAATTATTTTTACCACTTTATTTTATTTTATTTTCAAAGGGTTGCTTTTGGCGATGTAAATACTCGACGCCTTGTAATTTAATTTCCGCACCTTTAATTTCTGCTAATTATAACTGCTAGATGTTTGATAATAGGGTTTGCATGATAAGACTGAATGCTTAATCTTAAAATCAAATTAGACCACCCTTAACATGTGCAAAGATAAAAATAAACTGAAAACGACACATTCGCACATGCGCACTCTTAGGGTACACCCCACTTGGTTGCCTTCGTACACGGTCATTGAGTATAGGTCACTTTAGAGGTCGTCCTCTTGTCTAAAAGATCATAGTCGCCTCGAAACGGTTGCCTCAGATATTGTTGCCTCAAATAAATGATCTAAGACATTAGGGTTACCGCTAAGGCGTCCTAACATTGCTTTAGTGACTGCATGTCCCTCATTCAAATTGACCATCAAACTCCAACGACGAGGCTACCTACTCATCAATAGTGGGATAACATTGTCTAAAGGAAAATAGTGTAAAACGATTCCTTTTTCGAGTAGGTAGATGGTTCTTAGATACTTGCTCTTTCAAAAACAAAACTTTTCACACTTACACCTTTT